CGATTTCTTGACTAATTTTATGCTCTCAGTTTTGACACTATCTAATTAAAGGTAAAAGAAAACTTACTGTTTGCTAGCCTAACTCTACCATCTACTTAGTTTGTCGACATGACAGAAAAACTGTTGCTTTTATATCCACCTTGGATTTTCCGTCTAATATAATCTGAAAAAAAATCTATTTTTTACATATGATGGTGTTATTTAGCCAATTAAGAGATTTCTAACTTTTGAACGTATTTGTTGTTAAAGAAAGAAAAAAAGAGAAGAATACGGAAAAGTCGGAATGTGAATAACGTTGAAAACTGTCACCAGGCTACCTTGTTTTCAAATTGTATTTCCAGGGTATTGTAAAATCAACGCGAACTTATTTTATGCCTAGAAATAGTTCAGTTCTGCTTGAAACAGTCATCAACCAAAGCTGTTTTTCTCAACTCATCTGAGGATTTAACTAAGCAGTAAATGTCTTTTGTCTGGTTTTTCCACATTTTCATATCTGTGTTTGAAATAATAATTTATGATTTAAAACCAAACTTATATATGGTAATTAAAGAGTAAAAAAAAGCAAACGTAAGAATTTCTTGAATTGATTACGAGATCAAAACCATTCTGGTTGAAATCTTGTTTTCAATGGATGCATATTCTTACTGCAAAATCAAGTTAAAGGCACTTTTCAAGCTGTATGGTCTTTCATAATTTATCTTGTTTATCACCTTCGTTTATCAGCAATAAAAAGACGATTCTTTTCTGCTTTATCAGCTAGTGACCTTGTTTCAGCTTATAACTTTTTATTGAGCTAAGAGCAACAAAGACCATGATGTAATATCTGAAGGTTCGGAAATCCAGATCTTAGTAACTGTATTAAATGTTTTTTATGTTTTCGTATTCGCAAAAAAGTACAATTGAATGTCAGTCACTCAGTCGTCTTGAATAAACAATGCTACAAGGTTTTTTTTTATCTTTTTTAGAAAATCCTGTTTGTTAAAACGTTTTTGAAGTAATGCACCCAGATCTTTTCGGTACTATTTTTTAATTTTGAGCATAACTACAAAAAATTATCATTCTAAGATTAGAAAAAATGTTTGAAACATGACTTTAGGTACTCAGGAAATTGGAGAATATTGTAACTTGAAGAGCGATAGCAGCTGTTTAGTTCTCACAATGTAAGAAAAAATTGAAAAAATCAAATAGAAAACGTTACGGTTGACTGAATTACAAGATAAATGATAAATGATTTTCAAAGCACTTTGAAATGATTAATATACTTTTTGCATATTTCTTTTGCCCAGTAGCTGTGCCAGACAGATAATGTCTATTCGAATTCGATGAAACCAGAAGACAAACTATCAGCAAAAATGAGCAAAAATATAGACCATTTTATTCAGTCGCATCAACCTATCTTTGTTCAACGTTTTCATTATATACCATTTCTTCTCTTCTGTTAAAAAATCCTTAATTTGTATGCTTTGAAATGTTGTTTATCACCTTAGGTCTTTTTTAATTACTTTGGTTTTAATAAAGCCAAAAATTTTAA